ACAAACATTCGTACTGTAAGACCAGTAAATGTTAACGAACATTTTTAAATTCTCACGAGTTAACGAATTTGAAAGAATCGTTAACATTTGTGAAGTCGTTATGTGCAAAACGACATGTACAGGCATTTGCCGGGTTTGAGACAGAATTCGTTAGAATTTCACCTCGTTAAACCCACGAAAATCCGGAGATCGTGAACTTTAATTGACGTTAAAATATCTGGTCTTACAGTATGTTTATGCTGTCTGTTGTATAGCTTCTGTGACCTTTGTTTCTATCCGTACTCACTCGATTGGAAGCCGGGGGGGGGGGGGGGGGGGGGCGCCTATTTTTTTCACAGCCAATTTTGAGAAGGCTTCTATTCGAAAGGGGCTTTTCTTATTTCAATCAATATTTGTACATGTACTCCAATAAAATCCCTAAAATGTTCCTATTCAGAGCAACTCGGCCCCAAGTCAGTTTCATAGTTCAGACTCACGCTGCGTATACGCTTCGCGAATAGTAGTCTGGGCTTATATCCGAGAGGGGCTTGTATTTTTTTCAAACGGCCATTGTAGAGGGGCTTTTATTCGAGAGGGGCTTCTAATTGAGTGAATACGGAAAGTATTAATTATACCAATATAATATATGTTGGTATAGGAACGTGTGTGACATCCTCTGACCGGTGTACGTGTTCTCTCTGCAGAGACGGCGAGAGAGCTGGCTGAAGATCAGCTAGCAGTTGTGACACCAATTCTTATTCCCCATCTCTATAGTATCTACTTGGGAGAACAGGTACTAACCGCACATGCACTTCTATGTAATTCTTGTGATGGATTTCAGTCTGCACCTGCTCACGTGTTGGAACCGCCAATATTGAATGAAGTGAGAGGAAATCCTATCCATACACCTTTGACCTTTTGACACCCATCGTCGGAGGCGATGCTACAGCAGAAGCCAAAGCACCTTGTGTTTTGATTGCTTGCAAGGCTGAATAATTGACCACCACTATTCAGCCTGGTCTACATCACACAGCTAGACATATGCAGGGTGCTTGTGGGGTGAACCCAGAGCACCATGCCTGCACTGAAAGCATCTTGTTCTGTGCGTTGGTAGTCTGTTGGTCCTGATGTTAGGTCGTGCTTGAGTTTCGATACAGGTTTCATTTATCCCAGACACATACGGTAGTTGTACTTGTTCAGCATCTGTGCTGTGTATTTGTATTAATTTTGTATCTTCTTGTATCAATTCTCCTGTTTTGTGTTCTGTGTAGAAATTCAACGTGCGCACAAGAGCTCGTGCCATTGAGATCTTCACGACGATGGTACAGACTGTCGAGTACTTCAGTTTGAGGAATGTAAGATGTGCTGTGCGCGCACTACTGAAACTCCTGCTGCTGGTGGTGGTGCTGCTGCTGCTGTTGCTGCTGCTGCTGCTGCTGATGTTGTTGCTGCTGTTGCGGTTGCTGTTGCCGTTGCTGCTGAGCGGGTATCACCCTAACACACCGTGTTTTCGGCAATACTGGCCGAGGCGCTTAGTAGTTTGCCCCTATTTGTATGTACCAACATTTGCAGGATATGCACTTTTTCTTTTCTTTTTACGTTTTTACGTCACCTAGCCTTGGAAGTGGTCACTGATGTGCTCACTCTCTGCTGTTTCCATTCTTTGTTTTACTCCCCTCCTCTGTAGGACTACCGAAAACTATTGACACCCCAGTTGCCACAGTTTGTCAAGGATCTGGCGAAGGGTCTAGCGGTGCCATTGGGACCTGACCATGATATCGGCTTGCAGAAGCAAATATTCAAGGTCTGTTGCCCGCACTCTGTCCATTAGTTTGTGTGGCTTTTTTCCCTGTGCTCGTTCCATACATCTGTTGCGCCGAAGTAGCATATCAGCACACCTCAGTCTATGTTGTTGCCTGGCCAGTACCCACAAAAGGCACCGGATGCCCGTTCGAGTTGCCATGTATGCTGCGGGCATCCATCTCGATTTGGTGGATGCGCGTGTGGGCGTAACACCTGATCTCATCGCCCACCCGCGGGACTGGCCGAATTGCAGTCCTTCATGCCGTGTTGTCTCTGCTACCGGAGTACCCCCATATTCGGTGCTCAATAAATTAAATTTGCTGTGCAGTCAACCTCGTGAATAATGACCTCGAGTATAGCAACAACTCGCAAATTACAACACAATCTTCAGACAGTGACCACTAGACTGCCTACGTTCAACCTCACGAATGATGTTAGCTCGCGGACAATGACACGTTTCTAATGCAAGATCGAGAGTCGTTCTTCCCAAGATTGACTGGATAGGTGGAGTTGTCTCGGCTTGAGTTGCATGTTTCCTACTTGTTACTCCGTTGCTAGTCGTCTCTTCTTCGCCATTTCTGGAATTTGTGCAAAGTGAGCCGTCACTGCTGCATGCAGGAGTTGAGTGAAGATGGCAACTCCTGCACTGCTCCTGGTGACAGGTGTCCGTAAAGAGAAATCCCACGTTTTCTGATCTAAAACATATGGAATGGAAAGTGAATTAATATTTGCTTGTGTTGTGTATTTGCGTGTGTGTGTGCATGTGTGTGTGTGTGCATGTGTGTGTGTGTGTTCATGTGTGTGTGCATGTGTGTGTGTGCATGTGTGCGTGCGTGTGTGTGTGTGTGTGTGTGTATTTGTGTTGTGTGGATAGGCCCTAGGAGCCGTAGTACAGGTTTTTCCGAAAATGGTACGGCAGCTTTTCCAGGAGATCATGCCGCCCCTATGGCAGGTCTTGACGAACTGTGCCGCCCAGTATCCACCTATGCTGCTGTGGCTGCTGTTGCACTGACCACTGCTTGTTAGGTGATGACTACTTTTGTTTTTTTAAGTGTATCTGTCTGTTGGTCTGTGTCTGAGTGTGTGTGTGTGTGTGTGTGTGAGAGAGAGAGAGAGAGAGAGAGAGAGAGAGAGACGGAGGGGGGGGGGGGGGGGGAGAGAGTGGCACGTTTTGTGCTCGTTTCATGTACATTTTTCAATGCTACTCCTTGACTTTGGCTAATAGTTATGTTCAAACGGTTGTCAACGGTGACAGTGAACAAGATGATGCAGTGGACAGTGATGGTGAGTTGTGTTGTAGCAACGTGTATTGTGTTATATAGGTTTCTTGCGGTAGAGTTGTCTCCAGGCAAGGAAATTTACGAAATTCACTTTGTAACTCTTTCAACAAGGAATGTTAGTTTACTGTTATTGTTCATGTTCTTCGCAACCTTCCATACATGTGTGTGTGGTAACTTGTGTGTGCGCGTCTGTGTATGTGTGTGTGTGTGTGTATGTGTGTATGTGTGTTCATGCGCGCGTGCGTGTGTGTGTGTACACGCGTATATGCGTGTGTGTGTGTGTGTGTGTGTGTGTGTGTGTGTGTGTGTGTGTGTGTTTGGCCACTGCAGGCGAATCAGTGACCATGGACACGTTGATTTACGCGGTGTTCGAATTCACTGGCTCGCTGGTGCAGCAAGAGTCCTTTCATCCTCTACTCATGCCTCACCTGCCGGGCTTCATCTTTTACTCACTCTACTACATGCAGATGACGAATGAAGATGTGAGTGCAGATCACAGCACAGTGACACCTGTCTAAGACCACTGCTCAAGGGACTTTCAAAATGTGGTCTCTGGAACCAGGTGGTCTCCTTATCCAGGGTCATTTGACTGGAAATCACATCCATTGGTGCTGGCTGTAGTGGTCTTCTGGGGCAGGTGGTCTTCTGGGGCAGGTGGTCTTCTGGGGCAGGTGGTCTTCTGGGGCAGGTGGTCACCTTGACAGGTTTTACTGTACATGCTTGCTTGTTGTCAAGTGTTCTTGATGGGAGAGATTGGTGGCTAGGTGCCATGTCGCAGTGCTCGCTGTCTCAAATTCTCCATACAGCACACAGAGACGGTGCCTGTTGTTGTTGTTGTTGTTGTTGTTGTTGTTGTTGTTGTTGTTGTTGTTGTTGTTGTTGTTGTTATTCTCTGCTCCGCCGTGCATTCTTCAGATTGAAACGTGGACCATGGAGATTAATACATACGTAGAGGACGAAGACGAGGAGACGCTGTCATACTCTGTGCGGCTTGGCGCTAAGGATCTTCTCATGGTATGGCGGAGCTACAGTTGCGCTCTCTGTGAAATCCCACCCAAAGTGCAAAGCCGGCGCCCTGGACAAGTTCCGATTACCAGTACTTCATTGTATGTGCACATGTGTACGTCCAGCCACATTCATGCCACTTCCAGGGCGTCGAGGGCATGCAAGTTGAGGGCGTCGAGTATGCACTTTGGATCGGGTTTCACGGAGCGCAACTGTGGCTGTATTGTATTGTAGTGTAGTGTAGTTGTATGTGAGCAGTATGTAACCAGTTCTACCGGAGAACACTCTCCTGATGATTCCTTTGTTGTGTGAAATGCGAACTGGGGACAGTGGCGCCTGGTGTTTGTTCCCTACAAAGTACTCTTGTTGGGTGCATACCGTAGTGTCTTGTATTAAAGGCTTTTTAAAGCCTATCTCGAATGGAAGCCTGTTTTGAATACAAGCCTGTTTTGAATAGAAGCCTGACCCCCAAGATACACTGTCGCCACATAAGCCTGGCTTCAGTGTTGACACGCATAGAAACACCTGTTTGAATAGAAGCCTGATGTGAATAGAAGAAGCCTAGCCCTTACATCGGCTTCTACAGGAATAAGCCCGGCTTTAATACGCGACAGGTATGTGTTCAACATGTTGACCGTAATGAGTACGCTTCTCGTCTTGCCTATGCCACTGCCAAATTGACAATGATTATTTGTAGGAAACCTGTGCTCACAGGTGCTGCTTCATTCAAGTATGGCGTATGTGAGTGTAATGGTGCGTGTAGTAAGAATACCGTGGAACAAATGGGACTACATACTGGATATCCAGGCCAGGCGTCTTCCCACAACATATTATTGTAGAGGTGTAGTCAATTTTTCCCTCAAGCCTGTGAATAATAATACTCTGTGTGTGTGTGTGTGTGTGTGTGTGTGTGTGTGCGTGTGTGTGTGTGTGTGTGCCAAAAATTAGGGATTCACTGGCCAGAAAAAGCCACTTCATAGCTGTGTGGTGTAGACCAGGCTGAATAGTGGCGGTCAATTCTTCAGCCTTGCAAGCTGTTGAATGGTGCAATCCCAGCACAAGCTGCTATGGCTTCTGCTGTAGCATCGCTATCATCGCCTCCGGCGATGGGCGTCCAATGGTGTGTGGGTGTGGGTATGGGCGCGTGCTTGCGTGTTTTCTCTGCGTGTAGCAAATGCTTGATCCCGGATTTGACACACACTTGACGAAAGATGCTCCCTTTGCTCTCTGGAAATCAATTGAGAAACTGTACAGCCAACTAGCTAAGCCAGACCAGGCGGAGGATCCCAACCGGTGAGACTAGCAGCGACCATCAGCGGTGCCTTCAGTGATTTCTTTTCCGGTTTTGCTGCCTGCCCATCTCTCACTCTATCTATCTATATATATCCAATCTGCGCTATCTATATCTATCTCTCTCAAGAAAGCGTACACCAAATGCATGCATTCTGGTGGGAGAATTAGGAATTCTGCTTTCATTTCGGAATGGGTGGAATTGTAATCCATGTGGATTCTGACGAAGCAATTGTCTGGTGTATAATTATTATGCACCATAGGGAATTCCGACGTTGGGTGACTGGCCCGAAGCGTATACATTTTTCAACATCATAAAGAATGTTTAGTGCAGCGTATGCGCAGATTGTGAATAGCAACTGAGTAGCGCGGTTGTCAGCTGATAACCCCCCTTTTCTTCATAATGCAGTTGCGTGATGTCCACAGCTTTCTTAGGGAATTCGAGGATGGGCGCATTCGATTTCACATAGTTCTGTCCATTGTAATGTTCTAAGTCGAGGCTGTAGTGAATTTCGTATGCGGGATTTGATTATGCATGTATCATCTGGTTGCTGATGTGTGTGTCGCTGTGCCATGATTTGTGTTGGTTGATGGTACGCAGGTGGAAGTACTTTGAAGTGATCGCCGCGATTCTGACTATTCACTCGCCTGACCTGATGCAGCATCAGGAGCTTGCTCAGCGGGTCGTGCCACTGCTCGAGATCATGAAGGCCAACTTCCAGCTTGGCAATAGTCCCGACTTCCTCGTCGGCCGGATAATGGAAGTGAGAACTTTGAGCGTGTGTATTGGCGCGCGTGCTGCTGCTGCTGCTGCTTGCTTCTTCAGCCTAAAATTTGGTTTCCGGCAACACATTTATTCGGGAGTGCATTTTTCAGTTTTACTCCGACTTTGAGGCTCACCACAGCGGCATCATACCTCCTAGAAACTTCGGATAACTTTGGCGTGATAGCCAAGGTTCTTCTCCAAACGTAGATGCTTTGTTTGTAAAAATCGATGGAGGAACACCAGAGATATTTTTTTTTAGTGCCAGTGTATACCAATCGATCGATATCGATGGTGTCACAAAGGGGTTTAAAAGAGTGGTGTGAGGATGCGTGTGGCTTGTGGAATTGTTCTATTCGTTGATGTCACCTGCAGTTCCAGGCAAGTGTGTGCCAGTTCCTGGCCGACGGCATTGTCACGGCCGCGTTACACCACACGGCGGTGGCCATCAGCCAGAAGGAACGACCCGTCCTGCAAGTGCACGCCTGCAAGGCCGTAGCGCAGTAAGTGGGAGATGTGTGCCCGGCCGGAGCGTGATTGTACAGTGCTACCACAGGACTGTTGGGCGCCGAAGACCTGGGGGGGGGGGGGGGGGGGGTCAGAGTCGTAGCCTAGACCGTTCTTGTTTATTCATGTACTACAGTCTATGCACGGTTGAGTCACTGTGTATACATTGGTATGCTCTGCTTGGTGAAATCCTAGCCTGTTCGTTCTTCGGCTCTCCGTCCTTTGGCGTCCGGCGGTGTTGTGTTGTCTTTTCTGATGGAAGCTCTTTCTCTCTGTCTGTCTGTCTGTCTCTCTCTCTCTCTCTTTGTCTCTCTCTCTCTCTCTCTCTCTCTCTCTCTCTCTCTCTCTCTCTCTCTCTCTCTCTCTCTCTCTCGCTCTCTCTCTCTCTCTCTCTCTCTCTCTCTCTGGCTCTCTCTCTCTCTCTCTCTGGCTCTCTCTCTCTCTCTCTGGCTCTCTCTCTCTCTCTCTCTCTCTCTCTCTCTCTCTCTCTCTCTCTCTCTCTCTCTCTCTCTCTCTCTCTCTCTCTCTCTCTCTCTCTCTCTCTCTCTCTCTCTCTCTGGCTCTCTCTCTGGCTCTCTCTCTCTGGCTCTCTCTCTCTCTCTCTCTCTCTCTCTCTCTCTCTCTCTCTCTCTCTCTCTCTCTCTCTCTCTCTCTCTCTCTCTCTCTGTGCATTTCTTCTAGTCTTGTTGTCAACGATTGTTTTGATTCTTGCCCTTATTCCGGGCTACCCTCGTTAGTACGGCATCGGTTACACGACTAACCTCATTTCTGTACTAGATAATGATCCAAACTCCCCTAACGAAGCATGCTTAATAGTCATACATTATACATGCAACTCCTAATAGTAGACCAAACTTTTTTTATTCTAGACAAAATGTTGAAACCTCGAGGGTTGTGTACTAACGAGGGTATGCATGTACATGGGCTGGATATTGTATTGCTCCAATTCTCCCGCATCTGATCGCTGTCTTTGCAGGTATTGCACAACGCTGCGGGCTGTGAAGCGCTCTAATCTATTTACACCGTCGGTTGCGTCCCTGGCGACGGTAAGCAATAGGCGAAGTCGCTTCTGAGTAGAGTTGACCTTGCCATGTGGCTTGCTATTGAGCATTTACGATCCTGCTTAATGAAATCCAGAGTCGTGTCACTCACGTTTGCGCCTTGCACCGTGTTGCAGCTTACACTGTGGGTTCAAACTGGGGCACGGGCAGCGGTTCGCTATTTCACGAAATTCGCTATATGAGAGTTCGTTGTAAGTGGAGTCGACCCGATGCTGTTGAAAGCGAGCTGTTTCGGCTACGAGTCGACTGTATTTTAAGACTGTTACCATGCTCCCGTTGTACTAGTATGTGGAAGGGTTTGTTAGTGCTGCCACTCTCCACCAGCCCTCGCGCGTTGGTGGTCCGGTGATGCGTGCTAGTTGTGTGTGCTGGTTAACAGGCCAGTGCCATGTGGTGTGGTGCAGTGACTTCAGTACGCAGTACGCACCGTATGCTCACTCTGACTTTGTGTTCCGTAGATGACCGTCCGCTCAACTCCTGCCGCAGTTCTTGCTGAGCGTGTCAGTTTCCTCTGAGATTCCAGCTGTTTGTGTGTGTGTGTGTCTCTCTCTCTCTCTCTCTCTCTCTCTCTCTCTCTCTCTCTCTCTCTCTCTCTCTCTCTCTCTCTCTCTCTCTCTCTCTCTCTCTCTCTCTCTCTGTATGCTTTCAGGCATTGCTCAGTATGATCGAGGGCAGCGGCACCTACATGCTACAGCTGGGCTTGGAAACGCTGGTGCTGGTTCTGTCCATGTCGCCGGAAACGACGGCCGCCTGCTGTCACCAGATCACCGACTTGTCAGTGCAGCTGTTCGTCGCGTTCAGCCAGGACCACGTGCTCGTTGACACTGTTAAGGATTTGATTGGACTCATGGCGGAGAACCCGGCGTGCATACAGGTGCTGCACACGAACGCGCTGCCCGTGCTGACGCGCATCCTCTCCTCCGAAGTCCAGCCCATGCTGATGGCGGTACGGACCAGTGCTCTGCTGTGCTGAAGTGTACCAGAGGTTTTTTTTTTTTTTTTTTTTTTTTTTTTTGGTGCATGCGATGTGGTGAAATTTTGCTGCAGTATGTAAAATACCATGCGAGTGCCGTAACTCCGTTATTTGACCTCGGACCGACTTCGGACCTGTTCGAGCCGATAGCAGAGAACTTTCTAATGCGAATAGACCTTTCGATTTCCCATCAAGAAAAAGCCGAGTTGCGAAAAATTGAGAGGGGTTAATCTGCGGATCTTCGATACTCTATCGATATTCGTTAAATTCGCAACTCATTATACTAGTGCAGTCCAGAGAATTGCAAGGACTGCAAGGCCTTGCTGGAAATGGTAACAAACTGCACGTCTGTGTTATTGAGATGCACTGTAGCAATAGTACAGGAAAGCCACCAGAGTGTGCAGCTCGGATGGGCGGCTGTCACGGCGAAATTCCGTGATTACATCATTTTAGTGATGCAGTGCGTACCAGCAGGATTCAAGCAGGTCTCTTTCTGCACAGCTGCAGCTCAGTTGTATGCACTACGCAATTTCCCGCCTCAGATCTGCGATCTGCGCCAAATATGCTGTAATAACGGAATTCCGTCGTGACAGACAACCATAGCAGAAAAAGCCCCAAGCTGCACACTCTGGTTTTCATGTACAGTAAAACCTGTCAAGGCGACCACTCGGATAAGGCGATCACCTGTCCTAGGCGACCACTGAAACCAGGACAAAGGGATGCTATTTCCAGTCAAATGACCCTGGATAAGGAGACCACCTGTAGACAGAGATCACGTTTTGAAGGTCCCTTGAGCGGTCGTCTTAGACAGCTGTTTCACTGTAGTCTTGACTGTAGGGATCTGCGTGAAGCCATATGGGCTTGTAGTGCTGCTGCTCCTATGTTGCTGTCTGCATCTCTGTCTCTTGTCACGTCCTCCACCTGTCCACCATCTTCATTCACTCCAAAGCTGCAAGAGTAACAAAACTCCCACAGTGTGCAGCGCCACACGAACCTCTGTTATCGCCCCCACCCCCGAGACGCACGTCAAGGCACATGAGAGTGGGGTTGAATTTCTGTTGCGTTACAAGTGTGTAAATTAAAAATTGTTATGCAACAAGCACAATCGTGATATTCATCAATAATCTGATCACTTTTTCTCTTGTTCTCCTGTGTGTGTATGTGTGTGTGTATGCGTGTGTGGGTGTGGGGGTGTTTGTGTGTGGGTGTGGTATGGTGGGTGTGCGTGTGTGGGTGTGTCGCTGTGTGTGGGTGGGTGTACGTGTGTGTGTATGTGGGTGTGTATATGTCTTTGCCCTATTGCGCAGGCCACTCTAGACTTGCTTGGCCCTATCGTGCGGCACACACCTGCACCGTTGCCCGACGCGCTGATACGCGAGTGCGTGCATATCGGCATGCTCATCATTAACACGGACGACGAAAGCATCATGCACGTACGTTGCACAGCGAATACGCTCATTGCGCACTGGCATAATTTGTACCGCGAACACCCTACACGGCCATCTGGGCATGGTCGTGTAGGGTGTTGAACAGTGCATTCCTGATCCCAGTGTACTCACATGCGTTACTCATGCAATCCATATTTGGAAATGCGCAATGGACTTATTCGTCACCCACTGTAACTTGTGTTTCAAGCTTTTACTGCTCTTGCGTCGGGAATGGGTTTTTCCTTCGAATTTGGTTTGTTTGCCCTTTGTGAGTTCCTTGCCTTTGAGACATCCATTAATACCTGGAGGTATCCGTCTTCCCGATAGGATGTGACGGTGGTTTACTATGAGAAGTTCATGTGGAGATTTCATTGCGAAGTGCATTGAGCACAGGGCATGATGCACTTTTTTTCCTGGTTCCTATTCTCTATTCTCTCTCTCTCTGTATCTATCTATCTCTCACTCTCTCTCTCTCTCTCTCTCTCACACACACACACACACTCTCTCTCTCTCTCTATCTCTCTCTCTCCCTCTCTCTCGCTCGTCCCTTTTCCACATCACACGAGTGTCATGTGGTGCGCTCACCGTGCATAAAAGATCATGCTTGTTCGTTGTGTGTTTCTTCTCACCGTGTGCGCAGAACGGAAGTGAGTGCTTGAGAGCGTTTGCCAGCGCAGCCGGGGAACAGCTGGCCACCTGGTATGTAATCTGTTCAAGTTTGAGCCAAGCGTGATACGTTATGCTCGCTTGCCACCCAAGGTGGACCCGTCAATTTCGGAGACAAAATCTCCTTATCTTGCATGGGGTCGGATCTTTCCTCGGCATAGGTAATTGTATCCCTTCTAGCTCTCAGCTCCAATACCACGTCTTTGTTCCTCACCCATTAGTCCTGAGATACTGAAACAGTGCTGATATGCATTGTCCAGACATCATGACTCATGTACATGGCCTGCGAAACAGTTCAGTTTTTAGTACTGGAATTTCACAAATTTTCTGTGTACTTTTATTTTCGGTACTTTCGGTGCGTCTGCTTCATACCTTAAATTTCAATACACCGAACAAACACTAACACACATAATCTAATGGGGAACTGCTTCTCTGTACCTAAAATTTCTAGGTACTGAAGTCCCACTGTAACGTTATTATGTGGGGACAGCGTCCAGTATACCTGCATTGCTATGTGGTGTGCATGAAACAAACGCTGGCCTCTTTCTTCGTGTGTTGCATCACAGGCCTCCGAACGAGAGTCCCAAGGCGCTGGACGTGATTGTGTTGGCCACTTGTCAGTTGCTGCATCCAAGCCGTCCGGAAAACTCCGCCATGTTTGTCGGGCGGCTTGTGTGCATACTCTCTCTTAAGGTGGGCGGCGGTGCTGCCGTGATGTACGCCTGTTGTGATGTTGAGTCCGCAGAGGGGTGTGATTGCGTATGGGCATGTCTGCTGTATGCAACCGAAGAGTTGTTTAGCTAGTGGCGAGACCAGTCTGGCTTGGGACTATCGCGAACTAGTAGTGAAATGCCCTGGGGCGAGGTTGCAACGCATCACGCACTCGATGTACTCATATCACAACTCTCCTCGTACGCGCGTGTGTGCACACGCACACACACACACACACACACACACACACACACACACACACACACACACACACACACACACACACACACACACACACACATGTGCACTGGGTTTCGAACGGTCCAGGGAATGGCTGAAACAGACTTGCAATGTTTACTTTGACACTGTCGTGGTTGGCCACACCATAACATCAGGTGTTTTTCCGCATTTTTCCCGTCACAGCTGCGGGACCATCTCACGCCCAAGCTCAACGACATACTGCGGTCCGTTCTCGGCAAACTCCAGCAAGTACAGAAAGACATTAATGTACAGGTGAGGACTTGCTCTGTCTGTCTGTCTCTCCCTTTCGCTCTCTCGCTCTCTCTCTCTCTCTCTCCCCTCTCTCTCTCTCTTGCTCTCGCTCTCTCTCTGTCGCTCTCTCTTGAAAGGAATAGCTTGCATGTTCCCTTTCTTTGTATTCAGTTTTGAACAAATTAAATAAAAATTCACGTTTCCCACGAGACTCAGTTAGACTGAGTTGTCCGCACGCGCAGGAACGCCACCGCCCTCTAGGATTCAGTTCCAAGTGTGCAGCTAGGCCTCTGCCCTGGGCACGGATAGCTCAGCCGTTGTGCAAGTCGACTTTTGATTCGAAGCGACGTGATGCTTATACCGGTAGTTATCCTGATGTGGATGCCGAATTCTGCGTTCCGAAACTGCTGCCGAGAGTTGCACAATCTGGCGTATGTGCTCTTGGTATTATGTAGCATGATGTGCAGATAATATGAAAATTAATAATGACACACAACAATGCTTAGGGGCCTTCCGTAAATACCGATATTTATTTAGAAACGAAAACTAGTCATTTCTCTTCAACCCCCTCCCACCTCCCTGAGAAACGAACACATACAAATGGTACATAGTATCGATATTTTTGTTCTTTTTTTCTGGACATGCTCACACACGCAACATGTACATCAATATTTTTCGAGAAACGAACAGGCGCTCAAACTAAACGACTATTTGTATTCGTATTCGTTTCTAAATAAATATCTAGATTTACGGATGGCCCCTTATTAACGCTCTAAACTGTATTAGTGCCCTAGACATTACCATGCAAGTAAACGTGCCTACAATATTAAGGTCCTGTACGTGTTTCCGTTGTGTTTTTCAGTCCCTTATAACCGTCTTTGCTCGACTGCTGGAATTCCATCTAACGGACGTCGTGTCCTTCCTGAGCAACACTTGCGGACCGGACGGCAAGTCGGCACTACAGTTTGTGCTCACCCGCTGGTGTGCGTCGCAGAGCCACTTCTTCTCCGCCTACGAGAAAACCGTGTGGTGAGTGTCCGCTGTCTGCCTGCATTCGTTTTGTGTACCGGGCTGGTCTATAAGCCCATTGCGCAATGACGTAATTTATACTACTGTCAGGCCAGATATTTTAACATCAATTAAAGTTAATGATCTCCGGATTTTTGTGGGTTAGCGAGGTGAAATTCTAACGAATTCCGTCTCAAAACCGGCAACTGCCTGTACATGTACATATCGTTTTCTACGTAACGACTTCAATTTTTTAAATTCGTTAAATCGTTAGAATTAAATGTTCGTTAACATTACTAGTCTTACAGTATACCGGTAACCACTCCACACAGCCACCTGGGCAATACACACACAGTGGGTATGTGCGTGTAGGGTGTTGGACATGACAGTGCATTGCTGATCCCAGCGTACTCACATGCATTACTCATGCGTTCCATATTTGGCAATGCGCAATGGACGTATTGCGGATGTGTATTGGAAATCGAGTTGAAGTGTGTATGCCTGGTGGCGTGACGTCTTGACCGGTTTCATTCGGATCTTGTCTGTTCTCTGCCGTCGGCGGTAGAAGAGATAGTCATAGACAGTGTACAAGTATGAGTATAGGCGGGGGGGATCTGTGGTGTTCTGGGAGGGGGTAGAGATTCTAACAATTCCCGCTTTGGTTCTTCAACTTGTATCGCTTTCTCCGTACCGGTGTTTCCGCTATTGCCTTGCCCTTTCTCCCGTTTTCCCTGATCAGTGATAACGTTACATGTAGTGGTGTTCTCCAACAGTATCTTCTTGCCGTTCTGTTCTTGTTTAGTGTGTTTGGCCTGTGCCATTTATTGCGCTATGGCCTCAACTCTGGTGATCAGCGGTTGCAGGAACTCACAGTCCCTGGTGATGAGATATTTAGCGCCGATGAAGGTAGGTGCCCGTTGAATAGGATTGCCACTCTGTGCTTGTACTGTTGGTCTGTGTGTGTGTGTGTGTGTGTGGATAAAAAGGAAAAAAGATGAAAAATACTAAAATAGGGATTCACTGGCCAGATAAAGCCACTTCAATCAGCTGTGTGGTGGATACCAGGCTAAAATTAGTGGCGGTCAATTCATCAGCCTTGCAAGCTGTTGAATGGTGTAATCCCAGCACAAGTTGCTATGTCTAACATAGCTGTTCGCTATCATCGCTTCCGCGATGGGCATGTCCGAGTCCGTGTGTGTGTGTGTGTGTGTGTGTGTGTGTGTGTGTGTGTGTGTGTGTGTGTGTGTGTGTACTGTTGGTCTATGTGTTTGCACTGTTGGGTTTCTATTAGGGAGAGGCAGCGGTTGCTTGCTTCTTTTGTTCCAGCTGCTGCTGCTGTGTGATAGGCATTGTGCTCCTGGTGTTTGTGTAGCCAATACTGTTGTTACTCGTGTGTTGTTAATACAACTGCAGTGTGTGTGTGTGTGTGTGTGTGTGTGTGCATGCGTGCGTGCGCATGCTGTCCTCTTCTCTTTCTGTAGGCATTCGGACGAGATCGAAAACGAAATCAGGTTGGTCCCACGCAGGTGCCCAGTTGCGTTTGTGCATCGACCCTATCGAGAGTGGTGATATTCAGGGCTGTAGGCTTCTTTGCACACACACAGTTTGCGTCCATGGAGCTATGAAGCCGAGACCTCTGGTCGGCGGAGCTTAATGGACCCCACCACCACACTCCATCATTCACCCCAGTGTCTGGAGATATGTGGATTTTGTAGAAAAAAAAAACACAGACACACCATGCCGGCGCTGCACAAACGGACTTGTTCGCTAAGATGCACACCACTTCCCTGCTGTGCGCCTCACAGCTACTGGCGCTGTCTGCGAATCTATTTCATGCCGTGATGCTGACCACTCCGATGCTCTTCCCCGTCCACTCCACACACTATACCTCCCCCATCCGCCGTATTGTCCGTCGTGTATCAGGCAGCATGTAAGAAGAAGGCCTTGGGGCCTGTTGCAAGTGTCCTAAACAGAAGTGTCTGTTGTTCTTTCGCCTGATTTACTGCTTTCCCCGAACTGCAGTACCGCGACAGGTGACGATCATCCCTGTCCTGGTCAAGATCTTCAAGCTCCTCCTCAATGAAATGACGTATCAGTTTGAGCTGAACAAGCGGACAGCTGGTGAGTTACGAGAGTTCTGTGCGTGAGAGGGGGTTACCCTGCGGTGGTCATCACTATGTTGTGTCTTCTCGGGAGTATTGTCGATTGGCAGGACGCAAGCATAGCGATTCGTCCATCTGCTGCCATTTTGGCCGTGCCTTTGTCGTAAGCCATCAGCTGTTCAGATACATGCCTGATTGTTCACTTGTTCGGTTTGGCAGTACAGTAAAAATTTGTTTAAGCGACCACCCCACAGTGCAAGCAAAAACGGTCGCCCGCGGTGCAAGGAAAAGCGGTCGTTAAAGCCAGGTGGTCTTTAGAACCAGGTCCAACAGGCTCAGTGTAGAACTGGCCGTGTGTGGAAAAACGGTCATTAACAGCAGGTGGTGGCTAAAACCAGAGGTCGCTTACACCAGATTTTACTGTACAATCAACAATCATGCTATGTGTACCACCTCTTCTTCCGATGGTGAGCCGATAGTATTCATGTGTAAGAGGAAAACAAATGTTACGAGTTATGACGACCAGTCCACCACCTGTCTGACTGTATATTACCTTGTTAGCTTGGTGGACTGTTAGTCATAAATTGTAACATGTTGGTCCTTTCTCTGATACGTCTTGTACCCTTCGTGCCATTTTTTTCTCCGCCCAGGTGCGAAGATGATTGCAGCGTCCAATCAAGCTTTGGGGCGGCAAGGCGGTGCAGAGGGCGACGTTGCTGATGATGACGACGGCGATGAAGGTGTAAGTGATAGCCACACGCAAGTGCGTGCACACACGCACACACAAACTCTCTCTCTCTCTCTCTCTCTCTCTCTCTCTCTCTCTCTCTCTCTCTCTCTCTCTCTCTCTCCCCCCCCCCCCCCCCCCGTAGAGGTTCTTCCAAGCGCTACTCACACTTGTTGAATGGCCAGTGTAGACAATGTACTGTCTGTAGACATGACACGCACACAGATGAGTCGAGCAGCATGCGTGTGTCGGTATGCTCTATTGTACTGATCCAAGTGCACCTGCGGCGTGCCGAACCTGGCCAGTTTAGTGCTGGCATGCCATGCACTTACCTGCTCCCGTACATGCATGATGTCATAGTGACGCCATCTGTACACATTCTCTACACAAAATGGGTGATTTTATAGACCTCACCCATGATGTCATAGTGATGTTATCCGTACACATTCTCTGCGCAAAATGGGTGATTTTAAAGACCTCATCCATCATGACATAGTGATGTCATCCATACACATTCTCTGCGCGAAATGGGTGATTTTGTATACCTCATCCATGATGTCATAGTGATGTCATCCGTACACGTTTGCTGGACAAAATCGGTGCTTTTATAGAGGCTATTCATGAGTATTAAGAGTGCATAAACAAAAGCATGCAACTGTGGCTATGGGTCAGTGCGCGGCGCGCTGCCTTCATTACGTAACTTGCCTCCATCACGCTCTGAAAGCATGCACTCAAACCCACAATTTCTCGGATAAGCCAATCCGTTTTGCTCGATTCGTTCCAGTACCTACGCGATCTCTAAATTTTGGCACTTGAACTCCAGTTCCGTGCGAAAGTTCATTTCAACCCAGAGGGAAAGTGCGGTGTTTGATTTTCCGCAGTGCGCGGACTAGGACCGGACTGCAGCTGAATGATGTAATGAAGGCAGCGTGCCGCTCATCTGGCCCATAGAAAAGAGTTAGAGAGAGTGTTATTAATGAGCATTGCCAAATCTCTGTGTTGTATGGTGTGTGTGTATGTGTGTGTCTGTCTGTGTGGGTGGGTGTGTATCTGTGTGTGTGTCTGCGTGTGTATCTGTGTGTGTCTGTGTGTGTATCTGTGTGTGTGTCTGTCTGTGTGGGTGGGTGTGTATCTGTGTGTGTATCTGTGTGTGTGTGTGTGTCTGTGTATCTGTGTGTGTGTGTGTGTGTGTGTGTGTGTGTGTGTGTGTGTGTGTCTGTGTGTGTGTGTGTGTGTCTGTGTGTGTCTGTGTGTGTCTGTGTGTGTGTGTGTGTGTGTCTGTGTGTGTGTGTGTGTGTATCTGTGTGTGTGTGTGTGTGTGTATCTGTGTGTGTGTGTGTGTGTGTGTGTGTGTGTGTGTATCTGTGTGTGTGTGTGTGTGTGTGTGTGTGTGTGTATCTGTGTGTGTGTGTAATGGTACAGGATGATTGGGCTGACTGTGATGATGGAGACGATGGTGACTTGGCCAACGGTCTAGATTCTCTCTTGGGTGGCCTTGGCGGAGGTACGCCTGCTTCCATGTCGTCTTCTGCTCTCTCTCTCTCTCTCTCTCTCTCTCTCTCTCTCTCTCTCTCTCTCTCTCTCTCTCTCTCTCTCTCTCTCTCTCTCTCTCTCTCTCTCTCTCTTTCTCTCTCTCTCTCTCTCTCTCTCTCTCTCCCTCAACACACGTGCACACACTTACTCCCAGACTCAATTGGGCTGCGTTTACATGAGGGCGTTCAACCCGGGTTGAGTTCGCCCGGGGTTAAGTTTCAGCCCACCTTGACCCCGGATTCACTGGATCGCTTACATGATGCATTGTGCTTGACCCGGGTTGACTTTGACCCTCCTCGGGGGGATATTGAAATACTTGTAGTTAAACTGCCGTGTACAGGTACGTTCTTCAGGCCAGGATTGCACAGCATTGCAGATGGGACTTTCCCCGCGATGAATGGTAGTCACGCAACCATACTAGTCTAGAGAAATGGACTTTTGCCGGCGTATCAGTAATCGACCCGGGTCAACAGTCTTCATGTAAGTAAGCACTCGCCTACAGTACTGCGGCCAGCCTAGAATTTCACCAGGCACGCCATACCAATGTATACACTCCGTGACTCAACTCATACTGTGCATAGACTGTAATACTGTTAAACCGGAACATTTCGGTGGAGTTTCATTTTCAGTAAACTTCGTTGCAAAAAGTCGGCGTGGAGACAAGAAACCTAATACCACGAGAACAATAGAAAAAAGAAAAAAAAGAAAGATTTGAACGTCGCTTTCATGTGATATTCATCAGAAATCAGAGATGTTCCGCACTACGTAAAGTTGAGCAACTTTACGTTAGTGGGCGGGAAAAACCCGTGAATTCGCGAGTTTGCACTCCACTTACGGAAAGTTGTCTACGTAGAGTACGTAGATAGGGCTCTGATAACGTAGCTGGTCCGTAAGTGGATTGGGGTACAAATTTATGGCTCTCTCTCCCCAGGTTGATCTGGTCGTACACTGCCGCGTTCGGAGTTGGCAACGGCAGCTACGTGATTTGAAAACTCCGTATGGCGGAACACAGATGCGCATTCAGTTTACGTAAAGACTTTCCGTAGATCAACTACGTTTTTTACTGACGTACCTACGTTATGCGGAACCTCTCTATCGTCATCACAACTTCCTTACAGATAATTTCTACCTGAAATAAAACGCACCGAAAATATACATACATGCATCCCGACTTCAGAACGGGAAACTGGTTTATCGAATTTTTGCGCTACCGAACCGTTGACTTTGGGAAATACCGAAAATATTACACCACCGAAAATTCCCGATTTTACAGTACGTGAAAATAAGAACAGTCTAGGCTAGGAGGCTGAACCCCCCCCCCCCCCCCCCCCCCCCCAGTTCTTCGGCGACCGACAGTACTGTATTTATCCGCCGTACTGACTTTCAACCCGACAATTCTCATGTAAACACAGCGTTGCTCTCTACATGTGTCTTGCTGTGTTCTGTGTGTCCTCTGCTGGTGGTAAATAGTAATGGACGACCTGGACGGTCCGAGAGATCTAGACCTGCAACAGGATACTGTCATGCATGTTGATCTGCCAGTAAGTAGTATGCTATGGTATGTGCAGGCGATTTTCGATCGAGAGGTTGTGGGTTCGATTCCCGATGATGATGGTCACGCACGTCTTTCTTCTCTTTCTCATTCCCCTAGCTCTTCTTCCTGGGTGGTTACCAACAGCCAGTGCATGCCGGAGTATGTGGTGTGGTGTGTGTGTGCTTGTCAAAAATAGAGAAAGAATAAAAAAAATGAAAAATGATATAATTATGGGGACTCACTGGCCAGAAAAAGCCACTTCAATGAGCTGTGTGGTGTAGACCAGGCTAAAATTAGTGGCGGTCAATTCATCAGCTTTACAAGCTGTTGAATAGTGTAATCCCAGCACACGTTGTTCGTCTAACATAGCTGTTCGCTGAAGCGATGGGCAGGTCTAAGGAGTACAGTTATCCCTTTATGATCCAGGCATCGTTTGTGCTACGGATATTCTGCTGGATTAGGGAAGGTGCAGGATTAGAAAATCTGATTTACTGCTGCAATGTGCATGAAAAGGATATTTTGGTTCCTGAAAAATATGTCGGATTATGGAGGGTGCTGGCTGATAAAGTGCTGGATTAGAGAGGGACGACAGTGCAGTGTTTCCAGCAGCTCACTGGTGTTGTGAATACGGACGGTGGTAATTGTTGGCTCCACTTTGCTTCTTTGCACTTGTAAATACTTCCATTCCTGAACAGGCTCTCAGCGGCACAAAATGAATGAAAGGACTGCCGATATTTCGCCCATTCCTTTGCACTTTGCTTTTTGTACATGATAATATGCTGTATTGGAATGCGTGTGATTTGGATTTGAAAATTTAGGGTTTTCGTAAATATTTGGGGAAACCCTATTGTGCTAGTACCCCCCCCCCCCCCCCGACATCCTACACGCTCCCAGGACGCATACTATTCCTCTCACACGTTTGCCTTTCATACACGTTCTGCTTGTTGACTCTGTGTTGTCCGGGTTCGGAGGCAACACAGCAGAAATGTGACCCTTTGTATCCATGAGGGTGGGGGATGGGGAGACTTTATCCCCGGAGAATGCAGTAACCACTTGCCACCGTCATTTCCGAAGGTACATGGTAAAAAGTATGCTTGGCTGATTAAGCACCCATCACCTTTTGGCCATTACCCAGATCTTATTCCAGTTTACTTGTGTGTGTGTGTGTGTGTGTGTGTGTGTGTGTGTGTGTGTGTGTGTGTGTGTGTGTGTGTGTGTGTGTGTGTGTCTCTCTCTCTCTCTCTCTCTCTCTCTCTCTCTCTCTCTCTCTCTCTCTCTCTCTCTCTCCCTCTCTCTCTCCCTCTGTCTCTCTCTCTCTCTCTCTCTCTCTCTCTCTCTCTCTCTCTCTCTTTCTGTTTCCGTCTCCATCTTTTGCTTTGTTTGTTCAGATCTTCCTGGTTGACTTCTTGCTTGACATTGGGCAGCAGCCTTGCTTGCCAGCTCTGCAAGCCCATCTGTCCAAGGACGAACACGCCACGCTGGAGATGATACTGCAGTCCGGTGAAAAGGTGCAGGTGTTGAAGCAGAGCCGCGCCACTGCCTATCGTCCAGCTCAGCAGTAACGCGGAAAAGCCTTACTACCGGCTTTGAGTGACTGTACCACTATGCTCGTGGATGTGCTGGGGCCACTTGCTCTCCTGCGTGTATTCCGTGCAGCGATGGCACCATTCACAGGATGAGCTTATTCGACCACGGCATTCACTGCCGATCTAACCCCACCTGGAATCTAGTTAGCGGCTGGCCAGCCACGTCTTTGTGATGGTCTGTTGAATGACACACCAGTGCTCGGGTCTGCATCGCTTGAGAGAGCAATTCTGTTTTGCTCGGTGCCCGTGCAGATCCGCTAGCGTGAGCCTGCTGTTGCCCTCTGAAAACTTGTATCATAGTTCATGGTTGTGTGTGCATGCATGCATGCTCGCATTTGTCTTTCCTGTGTCCATATGCCTAGTTACGTCGACTTGTACATACTTTTGTTCGCATCCCCTCTCGGGAAGCCGTTTTTCATCTACTTCGTCAATTTTATCGGTCGTTTTTAATCGTTTTTTTTGTTTTTTTTGTTGCTATCATTACCATTAGCCATATCTACCGTGTATGTAGTCGTATGGTCATATTGCACATACCTTTTTCCGTGTATTGTGTCTTTTGCCCGCGTTCTCCGTTCCCTCGACCATCAGTGTTAATTTTTGTGGAATGGTTTCCATTTTTGTTCATTGGTCTCTACCTGTACATACGAAATGTAAATTTTTGGCCGCCCGAAACCGACGCATGAAATTTGTCATGAAATTTTTTTAGCGACGCCATTGTGTATTAGCCTTGTTATTGCCCCTGTACATGTGCAATCAGTAGTATTTTTGCTATAAATATTTTCAATTGACGTAAACAGCATTTCTGTTTATCTCTTTTTTTTACTAGTAAACGTTATCACTGTACGTTATCACTGTACGTTATCTGCTGCCGTGCTTGTGAATGATGCCGTAACTATTTAAAAGTTTAAATGGATTTGCGTGCGTGTGTGTTTAGAAGAGTGATTGTGCAGTGAACGTTGCACTGCTGTACAGTCGGGAGCAGTACACTGGAGTTGTTCTTATCCTTTCTTCTGTGTACCAGCATGCTGCTGTGCTCGCCAAAGGCAAAGGTTCGTACTCATAGCACTACAATTAGGCGTACGCGCCACACGGGGGGGGGGGGGGGGGGGGGGTATGTTCTCTTTACACAGTGCTGGCAACTGAAATCCGACCCCTGAGCACTCTAACGATCTCTATTTTGGTTGTTTTACAATCCCGTGCTGGGTCTTTGCGATGTGAGCGCATGCGCACCGCTCAGGGGTCGGATTTCAGTTGCCAGCTCTGTAGCACCCATTTCTTGGAGACTAAGATGCAATCTCACTCAAGAAAAGAGCCAGCTTCATGCTCCTCGCAATCAACATTCTTTCTAATTCCACATCTGCTTGTTTGTCTTCTTGGGTGTGTGCCGCTGTGTGTGTGTGTGTGTGGTGCGTGTGTGTACATGCATGTGTTTGTACTTGTAGTCATCCTGGTTTCGGGACGACAAGCCAATGCACGTACATGTACACGTATGCATGCACAAACATACCAGGGCGTCGGACACGATACGGGTCACTATGGTATTGACCGTACCACTGTTTTTTTAAAAATTTTTATATTTCACTCAACTCGTGGTCCATGACCAATTGGCACGCAAAGTGCGAGAGAGGGGTGATAGCCAGTTTGCCTCAGGTACCCCATGAATCCATAAAATACACTGATCTGGGCTCTAAGTTTCCAAAAATGTCGGTTCAACAACCCCTCCCCCACGAGTAAATTGTACTTCAGATGGCTGACCGTACCACACTAGAATACCTTCCGATGTCCCTGAGCTGCGTAACACGCACACACACACACGCACAGAGCGACACCCTGCACACACACACAGCGGCACACACCAAAGAAGACAAACAAGCAGATGTGGCATTAGAAACCTGCATATTCAGCAAATCATCGTATCCAGTGTTCTTTGTCACTGCCGAAAATTATATTGCTTCGAAGTACTATTGAGTATTGTTCTGATCTGTATTCCCCCCAAAAAACGCCACCAAATATAAGAATCATACACAATGAAAACTAATGTTATGTTTTTCATGAGAAGCTTGGAGAAAATAAGTATGTCATAGCTACGGCTGTACAAAAAGCTGAACATGCCGCCACAAAACACCACCAAATATAATTATCATAAGGCATACGTGATGTTTTGTTTCATGAGAAGTTTTGAGAAGAAAAAGGAAGTGTGTTAGAGCTATGGCTGGACTGGAAGCTGGACGTTAATTTGCAGCTTACACCATCAAGAAAGGATGGTTATAGATGATCGTAGATGATGGCTGTGGAAATAGATTTCATGCAGAATGTCAACAATATTCAATAGACTTTCATGAAGGATCTTGCGGGAGATGGATGTTCGGTCGGTCATTCCTCACCACGCTGGAGTTTGCCGATCACGTCTCGCAGCATCTGGTTGCACATGGCGGCGTACGGGTTGAGGCGGACGGCTTCTGCCTTGGCGAAAGCGCTACCGAGGGCTGCCGCCACCCGGAAGTCCTGCCACGCGCCGTCATCGTCTCCCTGCAGACGGCGGATCATGGCACGCTGTACGTACGCCTGCTCGGCAACTTTGCCGCGCGACCGCGTCAGGTCAATGGCCTTGTTCAGGTCTGCCATTGCTCCCTCAGTGTCCCCCTGCATTCGCCGTCCCTGCGCGCGGTTGTTGTACGCAGACGCGTAGTGCGGCGCGGCCACCACCGCACGGTCAAACTGGTCCATAGCAGCAGTGATGTCACCTTTTTCAGCACATTCTATTCCAGCCAGCTCTAGACGTTTCGACTCAGCCACAGCATCGTCGCTGTCCTGTGGACGCCCGTTCTGTTCTCCATTACTTACAGGGCACGGAATTTCCTCTGTATTCTCATCTTGGAACCCAATCTCCTGGCGGTTAGGGTCGAAAATCAAATCCAGGACACGGTCATCACGAGTTGACACAGCCATTTCTGCACCGAAATAATAAGGCAATGTACTTTTTCGAATGACTTCTTGCTTCTGACTGCATCACACACAGTCAGTGCTTTCTTTTTATAAAACAAATCAGCGAGCGCTCGAGCGTCGACGTCATGCATGCATGACCCGCGCCCGGCCGGCCGGCGTATGACGCGATATCGCCGACGCATGATCTGACTGGCCGGGCCAGTACAATGATTATGTAGACGTAGACGTAGATCTACGTGTACAAGCAAGAGTAGATAAACAAGAGTGTGCAACTCCGGATCTCTCCTGCACAATCTGCAGATACCCCGCGCCCACGGCGGAATTTTTTGTTTACGTCACCTTTTTTCAGAGAAACGCGGCTTTGCCGCAGAGCAGTGTGAGAGCACGTGCTGGGCACCGACCTTGTAGTGTAAAGCCCAGCCAAGTGCACGAGGGAAAACTCTCCAAAAGGCTCGCAGCGCGTGCGTCGTCGAAAAGATTACGTCAACAAAAAATTCCGCCGTGGGCCAATCCATCCGGAGTTGCACACTCTTGTTTATCTACTCTTGGTACAAGTAGTCACGATCATGTCACGTTACGACCCACGTACATGTACTCCCACTTTTGACTTTGACTGAGCGCATCCACAGACAAAAATCTTGCACTTCAGAAGTCTAGTAACGTAACCAAAGTCGTTGTACAATGTATATTCATGTACTGTAGTTCAGTCTCATTTCAGTACTTTTTAATTTTGTTGACTCGACTTGTCACGCTGCTTGAAATATTAATTGTTCGCTCCAATGAACTGCAACAATATGCCGTCTGTGGAATGCTCTCGAGCGAATCATCTTCTGAGAAGTCACAAGTAAAGATTAGACAGGTAACATAATTGCCGCAAGCTGCATGATTGTACTAGTACAATAAGTAGTATTTGTGGAGTCTTGCTTGCCGCATGTCAGTCAGGACATGCAGTGCGTGTGATAACAAGATCATTAGGAGTCCCTAACACCAGACCCCGGCAGGCCGTGGACTAGACTGTTGGTGATAGCCACTAGGCACTGCCACTAGGCACTACGCCGGTTGGCCTGGGACAACGTTTATTTTCGGGACATCATTTTGGCATGACAAGTACGCGTACTCGTAGACCTACGAGATCGTACACATCGCCGATGTCATCGGCAGACTATGGTCGACGAGTCCTGCCACAGCTGCTTTGAGCTGGTCGGACAGTACATAGCCTCATAGTCATAGGCGTGGCGGACTCGAAGTCGAAGCCGCTATCTTGCAAGCTTGTAATGATTGTAAGCTGAGGATCATTGCACTCATTATAAGAGTCATTATTTTTATCATCAGTTCTACGGACGGTCGCCATGTCACCCCAGCCCCTGGCATGTTGGAGGACCTGATTGAGTGGCTGTACAAACTGCTACATGTTGCGTATTTTGCGTCAATACAGCGGCAATACTAAAGTCTTGTTCAAAGTTACTACCATGGTACCATCAATAGTGCATGGCAGCATGGCAGGGAGGGCCTATTACTTAGTTTAGAGTGTGTTAGTGCCCAACAACTAACGTGGCAACAAATCACTTACATGTAGCTGTCGGCCATTGAGTCTCATGTCATGATACAGTTGTGTCGTGACAAGTAAAAGTTGTAGTGCTGAACTTTTAGACCATTTTGATCTCAACGTCCTTAGCGACTACTAGTATCTCCTTCTCTCACTCTCTAACAATAACAGCTCAATCTGCAACAGTAGGACAGGTCACAGCAGAACCGTGCATCTACTGTGGATAGCAGGGAAAGTGCTGACATTGACGTAGTACCCAGGCTACATGATAGTATTTGGCCAAACTTTGGAGCATGCAAGCTACTGTACGTGGTTTTGGATTTTCTGCTACATCGTTTTGGTTCAGGGAGTCGTGAAATACGACCAGGGAGTCGTAAAATACGACCAGGGAGTCGTAAAATCCTTCTCCCTGTTTGGATGTTTGGTACACGGACATACATGTGCATTTGACATCCGAGTATATTGCACATCTGCTATCTTGAACCAAGAGTACCCAATCCCCGTTATCAAGAGTACATACCCCTCGGGTGTACAGTCAGACCTCGCTTATCCGGTCCTCGTTTATCCGGATCCCTCGCCATCCGGAAGAAAATCGTTGGTTACCGATTTACAGCATATGCCATGCACACATACAGGATGTGTGTTCGATTATCCGGTTCCCTCGCGGATATTTTTCTGGAAAAAGGATATGTGCGGTTATGCGATGTCTGACTGTCCTCTTGCCGTTATGTACTCACGCTTGAACCTGAAGAAGTCATCAAATGTTCGCAAGGCACTTGGGCAAATGCAGCAGGTGTACCGTAGGTTGGGCATAATTTCCAACCCCTCGAACCATAGGTGCATCCCTCAAGCCATAGCTGCATGCTAACTGTGTTTGACCCAAATTTAGCGTCGTTACTGTCTGTGGACTGTGGAGTGTTTGAGTGCATGTGTTACTGGGCAACAGCTAGTACAGTAGTACTAGTAGCTAGTATCGTTGCATTGACAGGTAACAGTTAGTGCTTTGTGTACAGACAGTGTAGTGGCCTTCCCAATTACAACGAGCAGATTAGCATAGCCTTAGGGTTTGAAAGCGATCACGTCTTAAGTCAAAATCTAACGACAAATATCGACTTGTATCCACTCTGCCCATAGCGAAGTACATGTAGAGGAAGTAGTGGGTGGTGTCACCATGGTCACTGTGGGTGAGCCCCTCCTGTCACACGCATGTATTTAAAGCAGGGCTTTATTGGTATGTTTTTTTCTGTACCAAGAGTGAGGCCCTGACCAGTCCAGTCACTACCGGGGTGGATGTGTCACGATGCGGCTAGCTGCGAAGGAAACCCACCCAAACGTGTATGGAGACATTCAGACCATGAAACACAGGATCCAAGCGGATCCGAAAGTCGGGTTACGACTCGACTCCGCGATCCGGGCTGGCTGTGATGTAGCACGTTCAAGCCCTATCATGTGACCTGGTACAGTTAGACCTCGTTTATCCGGTCCTCTTTTATCCAGATTCCTCGCCATCCGGACGAAAATCGTTGGTTACCGATTTGCAGCATATGGCATGCATACATACAGTATGTGTGTTCGATTATCCGGTTCCCTCGCCTTTCCGGATATTTTTGTGGGAAACGGACGTGTGCGGCTATGCGAGGTCTGACTGTATTGGCTGAATAAAAGCCGAAAGCCAAGAGTACAGTCAGACGTCGCATAACCGCACACATCCGTTTTCCACAAAATATCCGGATAGGCGAGGGAACCGGATAATCGAACAAACATTCTGTATGTATGCATGCCATATGCTGTAAATCGGTAACCAACGATTTTCTTCCGGATGGCGAGGAATCTGGATAAAAGAGTACCGGATAAACGAGGTCTGACTGTGCATGTACACACAAAAAAAAGAATTCCACTGGTATCGGCAAGAGTAGATAAACAAGAGTGTGCAACTCCGGATCTCTTCTGCACAATCTGCAGATACCCCCGCCCACGGCGGAATTTTTTGTTGACGTCACCTTTTTTCAGGGAAACGCGGACTTTGCCGCAGAGCTGTGTGAGAGCACGTGCTGGGCACCGACCTTGTAGTGTAAAGCCCCGCCAAGTGCACGAGGGAAACCTCTCCAAAAGGCTCGCAGCGCGTGCGTCGTCGAAAAGATTACGTCAACAAAAAATTCCGCCGTGGGCCAACCCATCCGCGAGTTGCACACTCTTGTTTATCTACTCTTGGTATCGGGCAACAGGGTCGCGAATCAAAGCCGGATCACTCAAGTATACTCATACCTCTCATATCCGGGCAGTCCGGGATCGGGCACTGCCCTTAACTTGGAAATGTCCGCAACTCTGAGTCACGGACACTTCGATGTTGGGAAGGGCCAGAGATCTGGGATATGACGTCAACAAAATGGCAAAGGAGTAGTAATATCTCCACTATAACTCACCCAGAGGGCACCTGGTAGACCGAGGTGCCCGTAACTTGGAGGTCCGGATAAGAGAGATGGTTGTGTATCGACACTAAAACCAGGCTTATGTCCTGATGGTGCATCTTGAAATACAGGCTTGCATTCAAACAGGCGTATACACGAGACAGGCTTTTGTACGAGACACTACGGTACACAAAACAAGTAGGATGTTGTATATTTCCAAATTAGCTCTCTCTTCTAATCAGCCCAGTGGCTGTCCGCAATCCTAGAAATCAATAGAAAATTGCAAAAATAACTGAAATAATGGTCAAGGCTGTAAAAAACTATTTCAATGGACCAACTTGGGTAAAAACTAAAATATTCTAATGATTGCATTGCAGGGCTAACAGGGCCTAGCAATGCCTGAGTCGGAACACACGCTATAACGGAGGGCATGTGTCGAGCATGGCGGCAGCCGAGCACAATCACTTGTGGGACTGCAGCTGTGTGGCTGTGTGGAGGAGTCGACTGGGCGACCACCTTGGCAGCGTCCAGTCAACGGCATCACAGGATCCGTCGCATGCAAACTACACGAGGCACGATGCCGGTTTGGGGAATTTCCCACTGTCCTCACTCACTGTCCAGGGTAAAGATTTCAATCACTGCCACGTGAAAGTTGCCGTCTTCAGCGGAGACCAGCGAGCGGTTGTTGAACGTGCTGCACTTGCTACTTGTACCGTTGTCCAGAGAGGCATCCAGCCAGATACCGTAGCCACTGCACCCACACACCCAGGATACACGTGTGCATGCCAGAACATATGCGTGCCGCACACACACGTACACCCACACACACAAACACACGCACACAAAACACATAGACATGAGGAAGCAAATCAACCAAGCATGTCCATAGAAGACAGGTCAACCTCTCCCACTACTAAAACATCCATATTGCGGTCGCTGCTTGGATTACACCATAGCTTGTGGTAGATTTATTTTGCAATACTTGTGACTCAGAGTCCACACCATCAGGGCGTGCTAATCGGTTGGGTAGCAGTTTCGTCAAAATCACTGCCCCATGCCAGCCAGGTGTGTTAGACTATGAATATGATGTCACCTGAGCTGTGCATATTCTCAAGCACTTAGTATTAAAGGTGATTGCTGGGAAGGCACTCCAGCACAATCTGTCGCCATTGGGCCCTATGCACTGCCAGGAATGCAGTGACATCACAGAGGCCCGAGCTCTTGAACTTGAACTTTGCTGGCATTGATGGGTGCTACACACTCAGAGCATGCACTCTTGATAGCGAGCATTGGTCACCGTTGCAAACTCGGGAGGGGGCGCTCTTGACAGCGAGCGTATTCGCTGGAGGATAGGGTACTCCACACTTTGGATGGATTATTTCCTGGCCAAACCCCACAGGGCGTGTTTTATACTCCGGACAAGTATACTGTATACATGTAGTTATAAAAAAACTTTGAAATTGACCTTAGAGGTCCTGATTTCCCGCTTTTCGGTCAATCGATGAGGGAGGGGGGGGGGGGAGAGGAAGAGAACGAAAAGAACGAAAGAGAGAGATGAGAGGAGAGAGAGAGAGAGAGAGAGAGAGAGAGAGAGAGAGAGAGAGAGAGAGAGAGAGAGAGGGGGAGAGAGAGAGAGAGAGAGAGGGAGAGAGAGTAAGAGAGAGAGAGAGAGAGAGAGAGAGAGAGAGAGAGAGAGAGAGAGAGAGAGAGAGAGAGAGAGAGAGAGAGAGAGACAGACAGAGAGATGTAGAGCACCAAGCGCTGTACATGTACTTACTCTCCGCCACCGACGACCAGACACTTGGTGTCACCAGCTATGAAGTAGTCCACACTCTTGCCTGCCTCCACGTCACCGCTCAGCCCTGTCCAGCGGTGACAGTCCGCGTGCGGCAGCAGCGAGAAGAGGAACGTCTCGCCGGAACCGAAGTAGGAGAAGGCCTTCGTGCCGCGAAGCCGTTCATGAAGTGACACGGTCAAGAATGCTCCGAATACCTAAGAGGCGAACAACAGGTACAGTGATGGTGAATGAGGATGGGGAGAGGAGACGTAGCGAAAGTATCGCCCTCTGTAGGTTATTGCCTCTTGTAATTTGTAATATTTTTTGCATTGTTTTTGCTTACTGCCATGGCTGGCTATCGCCCCCCCCCCCCTCCCCCTCCCTCCACATTGGCCTATATTCCCTGGCCTCAGGAAGGTGAAAAAAATAAATAAATAGCGTTCACACACATATGCTCAGTAGTCTGTCACAACAGGTATGTAGCTGAGTAGAACCCAAGAGTACATAACCCCCCAATAGTGTGCCACTCGAGTGATTCGACTATTGCAAATAAAAACGTGTGATGCGTTGATAGCCGTACACATGTTGTAAATCACTGGTGCAAGGAGCATTGCATCATTAATAATGACGTCAACTTGAAATTCTGTCGGGACAGCAGGGTATGTGGGAGTTGCACACTCTTGGGGGGTTATGTACTCTTGGTAGAACCCCCCCCCCCCCACCCCTTCTCATCCTTTATACATTATCGGAACCTCGCAGGTGTTTGCTCTGCTTAGGGAGCCTGTACCATCGCAAAAGTTTGCAGAAGCCCATGAAACGAACAAGACTCATTTTGTGTATGTGTGTGTGTAGGGGGGGGGGGGGGGGGTTCTAGCTGAAAATTGCAAAGCAGGCTTCACGAATGTACATGTACATACAAAAAAGTAATTAGTATACGTATGTATACGTATCCATGGTGCGAAGCCTGGATTGCGAAAGTATATTGGTTTGGGGGTGCCGGGGGGGGGGGGGGGGGGGGGTCGTGCTCGAAACTAATTTTGTTTGTTTCCGACGGTGGGTTTCTTCGAACTTTTTTGGAATAGTCCTTTAGGCATCTGAATTGTTGGAGGATACAAATTACCTCAATCCTACCGTGGATACTCCGGGTCTACTCCAGTTGCAGATAGTGTTACAAGAAAAGCATGAGAAAAATTGTTGAATGCCTGGTTTCGACCCATAGAAGGCCTGGAAATTGCTCTTGGCTTACATCTCGTGCAGTAGTCCGGACAAGCAGCAACAGCGGTTCTTCAGTCCCACAACGTTCGTAAAGAGTTGATAAACTGCAGAGCACACGAGAGCAGTCACAGTACATGTACATTAGGCCACCCTTTGTTAATTCATTGTTTAACGTCCTTTTTTTCGCGAAAAGGTACGCGGGAGGGCGGAAAAAAAACAAAAGCCCATTCCAAAAACTGGAAACCCCAATCAAACATTTTGACCAGTAAAGCATGCGATATATACAATATTTCTGGGTCTAGCGGCACTTGCAGGCATGAACAACACTCTTTGATGGTACATTGGAGCACATGCCTGATGAATCCAACAAAACAGGTACATAGCATGGAGTTAGCATGTCATGAATTCATTACATCTGGATTTTTACTAGGGCACACACCGTACGATATTTAAAAGCCAACAAAAAAAAGAAAAAGAACACAAGACAAAGGCATGCCCGGGAGGCAAGATTATAAGTTTAAGGTCATGATCGGCACACTGTGAAACTACACAATCATGTATTTACAACTTCGCATATTATTGGTACTACTACTTTCTTGTTTTTTTTTCAGGTCGGAGGCAAAAAGGTACGCGGGCGCGGACGTTAAACAACGAAAAAAGAAAGGGTGGCCTTAACAGCAGGCACAGTGGAACTTTAATCAGGCATATTCTCATGGGAAACAGCAAAGTGTACATAGTTTCCGACGTACTTCGTATCTGAACACACTTTTAAAACATACGGAGCAATGCAACCGTGGCCAGGACATGCCAACCACATTTACGGCGTATCAAATAGAAGTACAGTCAAACCTGGTTAGGACGAACTTCAAGGGACTGAACAAATTTGTTTGTCTTATCGGGAGTTCTTCTTATCCAGATCTGACAAAAAATCGATATGCATATCAGATGGATTGTATTTACGTGAAGGTGCATGCTGTGGTACATGGGAAGCATGGTATTCTTAGCATAAGCCAGAAACAGTTCTTCTTATCCAGATCTGACAAAAAATCGATATGCATATCAGATGGATTGTATTTACGTGAAGGTGCATGCTGTGGTACATGGGAAGCAGGGTATTCTTAGCATAAGCCAGAAACAGTTCTTCTTATCCAGATCTGACAAAAAATCGATATGCATATCAGATGGATTGTATTTACGTGAAGGTGCATGCTGTGGTACATGGGAAGCATGGTATTCTTAGCATAAGCCAGAAACAGGTAAGTACAATGACAAAGTGCAATGAATCACGACTGTGTCGAAAGTTCGTACAACGCACTGATTATTTTGTGCAAAACACGCTTGAAAACAATTTGCACTGTACGTACAATATGACCTCGACTATTGAAAAAAAGAAGAAGAAAAATGGCAGCCAGCGCATGCGCGCGCTCGTGGACCGAAAGTTCGTACTACATGTACATGACCACACTGACTTTGTTCAAATCACACTTGAAAAGAGTTCGTCTTCGCGAAAGTTCGCTGTACAGAAGTTCGTCGTAAACGAATAATTTTGACTTGAATTGATGCCTGGCCAACCATAGGATTGGCCTTAGTTCGTAGTAATGGAAAGTTCGCCTTATCAGTGTTCGTCCTAACCAGGTTTGACTGTATGTAGAGTAAAACTACCCTAATTCGGGAATATTATTCCCGAATTAGGGTAGTTTTCAATATCCGTTTTACCGGGTACCTTTCTGACCCATCTAGAGTCACAAAAAATCGCTTTTCAACAAAAAAAACGATCCCAAAAAGGCAAAAACTAACGATTGGCATGAAAAAAGTGTGTTTACGTGCATGCGTAACGTATGAACGTTCTGAGTTACGGGCAATTTCCAGTTACGGCCAGTGCTCGGTCCCAACTTGCCCGGTTTAGGGGAGTTATACTGTACGAGTTGAAAGTGTTACGAGTCTAAAACAATGCGGCAAAAATGTTCCACTTTCCGGGTACAATGTTTACGGTTTAACGCTGGTTGGCAATGCAGTTTTTCTCGTTCAATTGCAGCGAATGCAGGGGGACGCTCAGGGAGCAATGGCAGACCTGAGCAAGGCCATTGACCTGACGCGGTCACGCGGCAAAGTTGCCGAGCAGGCGTACGTACAGCGTGCCATGATCCGCCGTCTGCAGGGAGACGACGACGGCGCGTGGCAGGACTTCCGGTTGGCGGCAGCCCTCGGTAGCGCCTTTTGCCAGTTTCAACTGGTACAGTGTATTTTAGTGTGACAGTAAGACCTGGCAAGGACAGCACTCCACCAACGCAGCCACATGTCCCAGACGACCACTAGAACCAGAACTAAACAGTATCATTTCCAGGCAAAAAAAAGAGCATTGGATTAGGGGCCGTCCGTAATCATCGATCTTTTACACGAAAAGAAAAAGTTTCGTTTATGGGTGGGTGGGTCAAGGGGAGTTTCGTTTTGAAAAAATATATTAATAGTGATATACGAGACATCAATGCATTCCAGCTGTCAAAGGGGGGGGGGGGGGGGGGGCGGGGCTGCTCGGTCCTAACTAAACTTTTGCCTTTCGTGAATATCATCGATAATGCCTGATGGCCCCTTAGGGGAGCACACTTTCACAGACAAACCTACCTGTAGCCATCATCATCGGAAGTGAACACACGCCGTGGCTTCATGATCTGGTATCGCGTGGGTAGCCATTGCCACACCATATCCCACTGCAAGAAACACACCCATCAACTGTCCGTCAGTGTGCTACTCAATAACAAGAATATGAGCACCGCCAGTGAAGACAACAAACATGAAACCAACAACAACAACAACAACAACAACAACAACAACAACAACAACAACAACAGCAGCAGCAGGAGGAGGACCAACACTCTCATTGGCCACCACCGGCCGTGAGAATAACGACACTAGTATCCTCCAAACTTTAATACGCTGTACAATTTTCGTCTGACGATCGATTCCGTTCGTGAAACTCACAGTTACGAAAAAAAACTACTCGTTCTTTGGTCTGTGTTACTGTATTCCGCTCTTTGCTTTCGGCAAATTAAGCCGTCTACGGACGGTGGATGAACTTCACACGGCACACTGTACTTATACGTCATGTACGCTGTTCTTCTCATATTTTTTCTCTGGACCAAAAAACTCTACCGCAGAACCCAGGCATATAATACATGTACGAGTGCAGCACGGCACACACACACACACACACACACACACACACTGTGACACACACACATACCTGCTTCTTGTCGGTGATGATAGCGGAGCGCACACCTCCGGCCACGGCGGCCACATCCGTCTGTTCCGTCGGGCTGTCCACCCGCCGCAGTGTCGTACCGGCACCACTGCCACCTGTCATGGTACTGCTGGCCTGCTGGCATTGGCGGATCAGGCGCGACGACAAGTTGCGGATCTTGAACGCACACTGCAGCACACACACAAAGCACCCATGCACCTGGGTCACGGACTAGCACACTGATGCCGACTATTACAATGCAGCAGTTCGAGTATGGACGTCCTAGGCATTAGGCATCAGTTGGGAGGCATTCTGATTCTGATTCTGACAATATCACATACATACTTGCAGTAAAACTGAGAACGGCAAAGTTTTGCAGTACGTCTTGATCTCATTCAAGCTGGCTCGAACTGACGCTCTCCGACCTGGGCAGTGGATACACACACACACACACACACACAGACAGACACACACACACACACAGAGACACACACGCACACACACACACACACACACACACACACACACACACACACACATACACACACACAAAGGACAGTAGAGACATGCTTCATGATCACTACGGACCAGGACGGGATGGCCAAGTAACAGGATAAATACAAACAAGCCACAAACGCACACGGAAAGTGCGACACAGAGCCCCTTCAGTCCAGTCGCAATCGACAGATTAAAAATTAAAATCACAGCAATGTCATACTACAGTAGGTGCACTATGTGACAGATCATGTGACTCTTATGCAACTGGTCACGTGGCAAGGGAAAGCCCCCCTCCCCCCCCCCCCCCCCCCCCCAATGACATGATCACCACAGTCTGCACAGAACGTGCACTTACGGCAACGGTGACATAAATAACGAGTGCACTGCAACGCAGCAGGCATGGTATCGCAGTAGGACACACCGTAGCGGAGGTGACTCCACCGGGTGGATTTCCCTTACCCTGTGCCTCCAGGTTGCGGTACGTCAGCTTCATCAGCGACAGACCTACGCGGTACAAGACTTTCCGCCCTTCGATCAGAAAGCAGTCCATGATGCGGATCTGTGCACAGAGCGTAAGCAAGAATTCAAATAGAGATACAGCCGGCTTAGCACAAGAAGAAAGAGATTCAAGTAGGAGACCCCTTCTCACTTTTTTTACAGAACAATTTTTCAAACCCTCTGTGACCCCATCGATCGATATCGATTGATTGGTATACAGTGGCAATGAAAATTATATCTCTGGTGTTCCTTCATCGATGTCCATAAAGGAGGCATCTACATTTTGAGAAGAACCAGGCTTCTAGCCAAGGGGGAGCTAGCCTCCCCCCCCCCCCCGTGAAAAAATGCCGCCCCCTACTCATTTTCCGATTGTGTTTTTTGCTTTTTTCATGCCATTCAACGAAAAATGCAGTCGATAGTCAGTACTAGAGGGGGTCATACAGGCACATTTGTCTGGGGTGGAGTCAGGTATTCGCCCCGTACGTGGCACATCACATTGCAAGACAGTTATTTTGAAATGGAATACTGGGTTACAGGGTACCTGTTTTTCCTGCCCCCCCCCCCCCCCTCCGTCCAACCTATTTTCACCTGGCTAGAACCCTGAAAACCATGGCTATAACGTCGAAGTTATCAGAAGTCTCTATGAGTTACAATGCCGTCGAGGTGAGCCTTGAAGTTGGAGACAAACTAAAGAATGCACGCTCGATTGGTCCGGCCCAGAACAGGATTGTTCAGAGCAAGGGCGTTGGATTTGTCTTCACTGGTTCTGGAGCGTTCAGACCACTGTGACCCTGGGTATGGAGCAGCCAGAACAAGTTGCTGCAAAGCCCGATAAAAAACCATATCGCTATGACTAAATATTACGACAGAGCTTTCGGCCATATTTTCAATTCATTGCATTCCCAACTCATCACAACCACGCGCTCTTCAGCCGAACCATACCGTATGGTTCGGCTGAAGAGCGCGTGGTTGTGATGAGTTGGGAATGCAATGAATTGAAAATATGGCCGAAAGCTCTGTCGCAATATTTAGTTCTGAAGTTTTAATGCGCCGTTAGTGGCAGAGCAGAGTGGACACGAAGAGTCGGTGAAGAAAGAAGGAGAGATGACAAGACGAGTCGGTGAAGAAGGAAGGAGAAAAGTAAGACACATCTGCAACATCTTTGTTTGATCAAACTGAGCTGAGCTGCTGATACGAAGCGTCGACCAAGCATCCCTGACTGGAGTGAATGCCCCAGCTGGCCTCTCGTTTGTCAGTGGTTGCTGCTAGACCTGTTAGTATCACACTCACGACTACACGTTTACTGGTGTGCATCGACATCGGCATCAGTGGGGCCTCCCGCTGTCGATCCTGTAGACGGGCGGACAGGTCGGTGTGAATCCTGTACGGCAACCGAGCCTGTCGCGTTGGGGGATCTCGGCGGTGAGTCTCGCCTCGCCTGCATACATGAACATTGCAACATCATAATAATAAACATACATGTACTTTCCATTGGCATCAGTATTCCGCGTAAGATTTTCGTCGCCTGTGTGGTGTGTTTCTCCACCAATGAGCGAGTACTATGATTATTTATCGCTGTTCTCACACTTAACCATTTTAGCAGCTTGCATATGCCATTGATATATGTGGAAAGCGCGCACTTGCGCCATTTCTGGTGTATAAGAATGATCATTCCTCCATTATCATCATTATCATCCTCTACTGATGAGCTCCGACAGGGAGCGAAACAGCTGTCTAGAGGCGTGGAGCAATATTATCTCTGAACGGAAGTGCTTGCTGTGTCTGTATGGTTCGGCTGAAGAGCGCGTGGTTGTGATGAGTTGGGAATGCAATGAATATTGCTATGACAACTGCACTATGTTTGGCCTAAGATTGTTGTCGCTTAGTTGCCAACCGCCCAGCCCGCCCAGCTGCTCCAATGAATCATATTGGAATCCGGATTGACCAATCATACAACATAGTATTTTCAAACAATATTATTGTATTGTTGAAAAAACAGAGAACCCAATACAATACTGTAATTGCATTGGCTGCTTGCAGACCATCTTCCAGGTGGTTGCTACCACGAGTCAAGCCCCGAGCTTGCCAAGCAAACCGCCTCCGTCCTCAAGACAAATGCTCTTTCAGAACATGACTTCGCGCAGCTTGACCGCCTGCTGCGCCAGAAACCTGCAGCAGATACCCTGGCTCTCGACGGGATGATTGCCTTTGCCAACAATCGAACAGCAGAGTGGCTGAGTGCCAAATCAGAAGAGCAGAGGTCTGAGATCATTGCCAGTACCAGGAAAGCTGCACCTGCCATGCGATTGCTGTACAAGGAGCGGCAGCAAGAGATCCTAGCACATCGGATTGCATCGATAAAAAGCAGGAGGAGATCGCGAGGAAGCTGCACGTGCAACATGAGAGAAAGGAGCACCTGTCGAAGGAAGTTGAGCAGCATGGCTTGTGGAGAACTGTGGAGGAAGTAGGCGCACAACTTGCACTTATCCCCTCCATCGCCAAGAAATAAGCAGCGCTGAAAGCTCAGTTTCAGTTTCGGAAGTTCGCGCTGCAGCGGTCCGCGCCTGCCCACTATTTTGCCATGGGCAGGAGCCTGAAGGACTTGGCTGTGGATGAGTTGACAGCCAATTTGGCACATCTTCTTATTCCTGCTGATGTGTCTGTTCTCGCTGTGACCCCAAGATCCCCTGGAGCAACCGAGGATGCAGAAGAGGAGGAAGAGGCTGCCGATGGTGCTTTCGAGCCGGCTGTAGAAGAGGCTGCTAAGCATCCACTGTTGTGAGCCGGTGCCTCCCTCTCTCACGGCGTATTGCAATGTCGCGTAATAATGGCGAGGCCAGCCGCAACCACTTTTACTGAGCGCGTCACTTGTAGATGTAGTAGTGTGGTATTATATTTTTACTTCGGCCGGAAAGTTCATTGTCCCGTTTCTTGTTCAAACATTAGTTGGTGCAGCTATATGTATGCTATGCCATATTAGTACAGTCGTCCCTCTCTAATCCGGCACTTTATAAACCAGCACCCTCTATAAACCAGCACAATTTTCAGTAGCCAAAATGTCCTCTTCATGCACATTGCAGCAGTAAATCAAATTTGTTAATCCAGCACCCTCCCTAATCCAGCAGATTTCCGTGGCACAAATGGTGCCGGATTATAGAGGGACCACTGTATGTACATTTATCCAACTGGTGAATTTTGAGGCAATGCGCAGCAGCTTCATAGATTCTAAGCCGGTTGCTAAGGACGCCATTGTTGTTATTTGAACTTATTTCTGTTCAGTTTAAAAAAATTAAAAAAACCAGAACTGACAGCCACTTAGTTGTAGAGCGTCAGTACCGTCGGTCAGTGTCGTTCAATGTTATCGCATGAGCTGATTGTTTAGTAACTGGTGGTGTTAGTGAACATTATAGCGTAACTTGTAGTTCCTTGGTCCTTTTTCTTTTCTATAAAAATCCAGTTAACATAGTGTATATCGATGAGCTCCACCAATCATGCAGTCCAAGTTTGGTGCGATTTGGAGCACTTTGGCTGTTGTTAGGGTGTTGATATGGGCTTCTTGAAACCCATTTTGTGCCGTGCTTCCTATCCTGATTGCATACTTGCCGATGAAGGGTACCCACCCGTATTCAAATGATCATAACTCGGGTTTCCCTTGGCAGATTTCCCTGATTTTTTTGGCTGGTTGATAATCACATCCATTGTGTTTCATTGGAGCTATCACTGCTGTATGCACTGTTGACAACAAAAAAAACTGCCTGAAATCCCTACCACTATACTATGTGACTCCCCTGTTCCAAACAAAGAGACAAGTGCACGTGGTCAAACTGGTACCGGCTGCAACTTACCACCGTCATTATCGGCAGCCATCGGTAAATCCAGTTGACCCAGTCCTCCATGGCCTCGAGCATTTCCTCGTCGGTCGCAGTGGGCCCGGCATCCGCACCCTCTGCCCGAGCGAGTCCAGACTTCAGCCAGCGATACGACGTTTTCTACAGACCACATTATCACCAGTGACAGATCAAACATCATCAAGGCAGATCAAACATCATCAGCATGAAGAAGAGCACCGCAAAGATCATTCAGAACTGCAATTTCACCCTACATGCAGTTTTAGCTCCCACAAGCAAAAAAACAGTATCGGGCATGGCTATCCCTGGGCATACCGTATTATCTCTAATATAAGCACGGTCCTTTATTTTTTCAATGTACCTCCGCCCCGTGCTATTAATGGAGACGTTCCTTTATTGGAGACTGTTCCATTATTATTTCAACCTCATTTCAGAGGCATGTTGCCATGCCAAATTCATGTCAGACATACACATTTCAGGGTTTTTTCGCCGGTACAGATAATGAATTTACACAGTGTGCTTATAATGGAGACTGAGCACTTTATTTTTTGAATGCCGCCCCAAGGTGTTCTATTATTGGAGACGTGCTATTATTGGAGACTGTGCTTATATTAGAGATAATCCGGTAAGCTATATCTCTCGTTTACTTCAATTAGCTGATCCGTGGCAGCTTCTTGACGGATCCCCTACTATGATTTAATGCACACTGCTGGCTCATAATGCTAGCGGAACGATAACGGACAAACGGAGAATAACAAAAAAAACGTGGCATAACTTACTGCCTTCTTGCTGGCAACCAGCCCAAAGCTCTGACGCGTTGCGGTAACGGCCGTCTGCGACTGCTCCAGGTAGACTCGGGGAGCTGCAGCGTTGCCGCTGCTGTTGCCCGCCTGTAAGAGGCCGGAAAGGACGCTGAAGCAGCTCGCCTCGTCGTCCAGTATGTGCAGTAGAGCGGCGGTGAACGGCTGCAGGTCCGGGCAGTAGGACACGTCCGGGTGGTTGCGCTCAAACGCGACCAGCACGCGACAAGCGGCCGCCTGTCCCGCAGAGCCCAGCTGCCACCACTGGCATCCGAGCGGCGGCTGGAATGGACGCGGACAGGTCAGGTCCTCGCGCACGCTGTCGCCTGCACGCACATACGCATGCGCACGCACACACGTATGCATACACACGCACACACACACACACAAGCGTGCCCACACAATTTGTATAAAGAAATTGGTTCATATTAAAGCATACAACAAAACACATTTTCCAAGACACCATAGTATTATGTATGCAGTGAGTATACCACACACACTACGCTTAGAATTTACTTTAGATGACTGTGTATTGCACTCGGAATACACTTGGAATGCCCGAAAAATTGGTTCAAGGGGGGGGGGGGGTCATACTCTACCAAGCACGGGGTATCACCATTGGTGGCGTTTATACTTTGAAGTTTCTTTGGCAAGCACTGGGTATGGGTAACACCTCGGGTACTAGTACTCCTAGTACCCGAGGTGTTACCCATACCCAGTGGTTGCCAAAGAAACTTCGACCACTCGGATAAGGCGACCACCTGTCCAAGAAGACCACTGAAACCAGGATCAAGGCCAAGGGATGCTATTTCCAGTCAAATGACCCTGGATAACGAGACCACCTAGTTACAGAGACCGCATTTTGAAGGTCCCTTGAGCGGTCGTCTTAGACAGGTTTCACTGTACCTGTAAAGGCTGTATCCATTTGGCCTACACCACACCACAGCACAGCTATCTATCTGCTATTTATACCTCATTCCATATTCACCCACATACAATTGGCCATCTACATAAGTGGTGAATATTGCTGAATATTCACCACTTATATTCACCACTTCTCGGTACTTACTGTAAGTGTAAAGAGAGCCGTACTCGGTGCTGCGCTTGATTCCTCTTCAGTCAGCGCACCGGAGCTGCCGAGTGCCCTAGAAAATGTTTACGCTAACTTCCGTAAACAGGACTTTTCTGAGTACAAACGAAATTCCTTGCTTGCCATTGCCGCTGGATCCGCATGTGACCAGGTGCTGACAAGTCATCAACCAACAGTGAGCATCTTCACAGACGGAGCGTTCCAGCGAGCAAACAAGGTTTTGGACGCTCAACATGTCATTGGCCCGATGATTGCGGATCAAGCGGCAAGCCAGGAATTTCGTTTGTACTCAGAACAGCCCTGTTCACGGACGTTAGCGTAGAATTTTCCTACGGCACACAACAGCTCCGAAGCGCTGCCTGAAAAGAAAAGAAGTGAGGGTAGAACTGCTTGGCTCGCTGTTTATAAACCAACTCCCGAATTGGCGCGATGATCGCGGATTGGTCAAATCTTCGCGTGAAACGAAACCTCTCTCGGATTGGTCAAATCTTCTGTTTATAAACCAACTCCCGAATTGGCGCGATGATCGCGGATTGGTCAAATCTTCGCGTGAAACGAAACCTCTCTCGGATTGGTCAAATCTTCGCGTGAAACGAAACCTCTCTAATGATTGGTTCCCGCCACAAAGCTGCACCAGCGTGTTCTCCATGGTGATTGGCACGAGCGTGTTCTCCAAGGTCGTCACCTCCCATGCCACATGCACCAGTACGTGTACACGATCGATTGAACACGATTCTGAACACGCCGCCCTCCGATTCATGCAGGAACACGCCAGTCGGTTTACGATACTGAAGCAACAACGACTTACGTTAGTTCTGCGTACATGTACATGTATGACCAACAGGACTCGTTTGTTGGGAGGGTAAATATGAAGAGGTATAAGTATAATATTAATCGCCTCGGTTTTACTAGTGAATATTCGCCCATATTCACTCGGCTTCAGGTAATATTATAATATATACGTACATTATGTGTGCTTCTACGTCATCATGTACTAAGAAAAATAGCCATTGGTACACACCAGGTGCTATCATGACTTGTGACAGGTGGGGGTGTGTCCCATCAACCGTGACCCATACCATGCATACCCCAGCTACACTGCCAGCAGACTACATAGACAGCCAGTGTGCAGCACATCACAACCCCTACTCAAACTCCTAGCCTAGGCCTTGTCAACTGCTACTGTGACTAGTCATGCTGCTAGCAGTCCACACCTATGACAATGAGAGGCTGAGTGCGTCTGGAGCTAGGACTGTCTGTACTGTACTGGGACTGTGGGAGTGGGACTGAAAACGAATCATGCTGAATGATTATGTTCGGGAGCGCTAGCCGTGAGTCGAATGAATGGATCCCAACAGCAAAGGCCAGCGCTAGTGACTAGTGTGTTGCGCAGTACGACGTTACGTTTATAGTGCGTGAAATATACAATTAATTTTATAAATCACTTCCTACCGAACAAATCCTGCAGTGTCTCGGCGTAGAGGCTTCCCGACGACTTGCTGAACTGCTGTCCTCCGCTAACTGTCAGCCACAGCTGCTCCCGCTGCGATCCGCCAACCGACTGGCGGACGAGTTGCTTCACTTTCTTGCGACTGGTCGGCCACTGGGCGAGCGCTTCTGGCAGCTCACTGTTGCCACTCACCGAGAGCTGGGCAAGGTCGAGCTCAGATTTGTCGTAGTCCTCTCTGACCCACTTGCTGAGAACCTTCGCGCCCGTCGCACCTTCTCGAGCCATACTCTGAGTAACTACTGGAAGACGCAGCAGGAGAAGTAGCAACTATGGCTTGTAAGCTGTTACAAGTACATAGATAAGAGCATCGATCACCTAGCTGGGTTGTCTCCGCGCACATGTATTCACAAATCGTATCGTGGCCGTGGCCACAGGTCGTGGTAGGCGAGCTACAATGTAGTTGGAGGGCACCAATCGACCTGGGGATAGGGTGCTCAAGAGGTGAAACCTTTCAAGAGCAGCAGTGGAGCAGTGGGAACCGCGGCGCTGCACTGCCGCCACATGCAGTGCTAGTGATGCGCGTGACCTGGTAGGTGAAGAGTGTAGACAACCGCCGGTGCGCCTGGCGTGCAGCACATTCGTAACCTCAAAGTCAATACAAACCAAAAATGAGACCAGAGAACTCAGTAACAAAATGAGATCATTGAAAGAAGTCTTCGCTTCACCGCGTGACTCAGACCGTGGATGCCAACAAACTCTAGGGCGGACTGATGGGGGTGGACCGAGCCACAGTTCAGTCACTAGTAGCTGTCCTGATCTCCTATTCCTCGATTCCAGCACAACACCGCCAAACAAATTATGAAAGGCATCTAACCGAGATTTCTCTCTGAAAGCCTGTTGGATAGCATGTGCTCGTGTCTGCGACTTCGGGACAGTCACGCGTCACTGCAGATGCGCGACTTTGTTTCTGCCGTGCCAGCCTATGCCCAGCTGGTGGAGCACAGGAGGAGGCTCGAAGGAGCTAAGTAATAAATGGCAAAGAGTCTACCCAGCTTGCCATATCGCTTGACACACACACGACACAACAGTCAGTCACAGAAAATGCCACTTTTCAAATCATTTTTGGAGTCCAGAAAAGCTGCAAAACTGCGCCGGCCGGTTGATCGATCGTGTAGCGTTGTGACGCCATATTCATTGTCCTGGCAACAGCTCTGAGTCGAGTCGCATAGACTCGCATGTGAACAGTTACGTCACTGCTTTACCTCATCGGACCATCACCATGATCACGTGTACGGCAGCGTCGCTCAAAAAAAGACAAGGAAGAAAGAGATCTGGATGATTTCCTTCAACGTGTAGATTCTAGAAGTTAGTTACTTTGCTTGAACAGATTGGAGGGTGAAAACAACGCTCATGAGCTCATGTCAGAGGCGGCAAGAAGTTTGTGATTGTCCAGAATTGGCTCTTTGGCCGCAATAACTTTCCAGCTACGATTATCCCCGAGCATTCTCAGCAGAGGCATTCTGAGTAGATCAACTGACAGTTCTAAGATGGCGATTTTGAACTTGCGAAATGTGGTATTCACATTTGTGGCAGTGGCAATCTCATGGAGTTTAGTTGAGTGCCAGCTCACTGCAGAGGGAAAGGCACGCGACAAGTGCCTGAAGAGCCAAGTTGCCGGCTCTGCTATTGAGAGAATCATCAACGCTAATCCGGAGAAAATGTGAGCAGTGTTAAATTAACGTGAAAATAGTGTTCTCGGAGACAAAAATGCAATAAAACTTGAGCTCTATTGTACTACGAGTATCTCGTGCTCTGCCCCAATTGTGGCCAATAAAACAATTTTAAAAAAAATCGACGGGTTCGCGTACCGGGCAGGTCAAGAACAAGGAGTCGTACAACTCCCTGGTCAAGAACCACCTTTCCGCTTCCGTGGGACGCCACCACCCCATGATCAGGCGTCAGATGCGGCTCCTAAACGGTGGGGGAGGATAGATCAGATCCACCAACCATAAGCCAAAGGCCTAAATCCCGTTTGCCACATCCATATTTTACTCATGCCGGGCCACGAGTTCAAAACCCGCCGTTTGTTTACTTTCAGACTTACCTGCCGGGTACTAATACTGTACAGATAGCATGCATTGTGATATCTAGGCACGAAAGCCAAAGGCACTGCTCATGTGCAGCTTGAGGCACATTCGTTAAGTTTGGCCGCGAAAGCAGTACAAGTATTGTAACGTGATAAGTTGGTCCGCTCATGTCAGTGATTTCTGCATGTGCCCGAAGTAATCAGTTTCAGCGAAGTATCGTCAATAATTGGTGTTTGTTGCTCCCTACGTGGTAGCTTGCGCTTTTTCTGCCGACTTGAATTCTCACTTGCTCACGACTGCCATCTAGGGCACACGGGAAGTCCAATGCACCTTCCATTCGGCAAACCTGCACCAATGAACCTTCCATTCGGCAAACCTGCACCAATGAACCTTCCATTCGGCAAACCTGCCCCAGTGAACCTTCCATTCGGCAAACCTGCAAGAAAGCGCCACTCCACCAGTTGTGAGTGGTCAAGTGAGAATTCAAGTCGGCAGGAAAAGGGGTGAGCTCCCATGCAGTGGGTGACGCACGATTCGCCAAATATCGCCGAATTTGCGCCAACCTCTTCTTGAAAGTATCTTCCAGCAGAGGGACAGAGAGAGACACAGAGAGAGAGAGAGAGAGAGAGAGAGAGAGAGAGAGAGAGAGAGAGAGAGAGAGAGAGAGAGAGAGCAGAGCAGAGGCGTCGAACACGGTACGGTCACTACGGTATCGGCCGCACCACTATTTGCCCCAAGTACCCTGTGAATCGATAAAATGCACTGATTTGGGCTCTAAATCTCCACCCCTCCCCCACGAGTAAATTGTACTTCAGATGGCTGACCGTACCACACTAAATCACCTTCCGACGCCCCTGGCTCAGAGAGAGAGACAGAGACAGAGAGACAGACAGAGAATGAGTGTGTGTGTGTGTGTGTGTGTGTGTGTGTGTGTGTGTGTATGTGTGCACGTTCACGGATGCACTCTGATATGAGATTGAGGAATTGTCCATAACCTGACTTCTGCCGAAGAATTTCATAAGAATATTGCGTCACCATGCGCGTGTGGGTGCAAATTTTACCCACATATCAGGATTAAAATCATTTATCTTCTGGCAAGAATGTATATGGCAATGTTGTGTTCACAGTCTCTTCACAGACAGGTGGTTTTGTAGAATGACTTTTTAGATTGCAGGCTTGCCACGTGTTCCGATTTTTCGGAAACGCTCTGATTTCTACCGGTCCTTCCGGCAAACCTACCGAAAACAATCTTCTTTGTCTTACTAGGATTGCTCATGAAAGTGCCGTAATCTGTTGTTTCAGGCTCTTCGAATCCTAAAAATGCGTTGGCTGGCTTATGAAAGGAGCTCTATCTCCTTACCCTTGGCCGGGGGGGGGGGGGGGGGCATGAACCTCATTCAGATTTCTTCTGATAGAAAAGTGGCAGCCCTGGGATTGTATTGTATTGTTTTGTCTTGGATCCTCCACAGGCCTTAGCCTGCTGTAAGTAGATATGTGTTGATGAATTGTATGATGGAGGTGACCGCTATCTTTTTTCAGTGGTCGTTTATGAACAGTGTGTGTGTGTGTGTATGTGTGCGTGCACGTGTGTGTGTGTGTGTGTGTGCGTGCATGCGCGCGTTTGTGTGTGTGTGTGTGTGTGTGTGTGTGTGCGATCAGGTACTTTGAGACGACGGATGCGAGCAAGAAGTACCGCTATCAGATTGGCCTGTGCCAGACGGTCGGTGACACTCTCGCCGCAGTCATGCAGTTCAACGCCTCCAATAGCCAGCAGAAATTCGTCCTGGGACGGTTGAATATGACGCATGTCATCAAGCGCCGTAAGGGATGCATACAGTATTAACAAGAGTACCTAACCCCCAAGAGTTTGCAACTGCCTGCGCAACCTCTGTACTGTGCTACGCCGGCAGATCTTCGCATTATGTGACAGGGTTCAAAAGGTTCCGCTGACAAACAGTGCAAAGTAACCACAGGAGAGTTGATCCCGAAGCTGGGTTGCGTACAGCCCTGTATCTATCATACACACGGTGCAAATATTGTGTATGGGTTCATCATGTGATGTGAATTTCTGCCGTCTCAGACCCCATAGCTGACGTTGCACACTCTTGGGGGCCTTCCGTAAATATTAGGGGTGAAACGAATTTTAGAACGTTCGACTAGGTTCGTTCCAAGTGGGAGGTGAAGAGAATTCGATTTAGGGCTGAAACGATATGATCGATTAACCGTTTGCTAATCGCTCCGTATAAAGTATCCAAATATAATCAAAAACACGGAACTCTACAACCGCTGTCGCACCCAACCCATCTCCAAGGACATCTCGGCGAGGCGATGGAGCTTCCTGGGGCATGTGCTCCGGATGCCATCAGGGGCACCGCCACAGGTCGCTCTCGATTTTGCTGCTTCTGGTGCCTTGCGGGGAAGGATAGGCAGACCAAGAACAACACTGCTAACCACTCTCTCACTGGATTGTCGGGAGAAGCTGGGGCTTGTGCTTCTGTCGCGACCTGGCCTAGCCCAGCTTCGGAAGGTGGCGCATGATAAATGCCGATGGAATTCATTGCGAAACAGCACTGTTAATTAGCCTGGCCATAATAATACGATTACATCTGACATGCTTGCCTACCTACAGTGCATTTCAAAACTATAGACGCGTAGGGTTTTTGAAATATTTCAAATTTGGCTGGAACTTTTTGAGAATAGTTTTCGGAATATTGCTCAGGATCGCTCCACAATTACTCTCATATAGTTTCTAAAGGATTTTTGCCTAGGTACGCGTCTATAGTTTCGAAGTGGACTGTACTCGTGCGCACGCATGCATTCTTGCCGGAGATGTCTACCTGTGGCGACAATAATTTTTTCATGGACTGATCTTCTTTTTTAGTGTTTGCACACTCTTGGCTGCTGCTGTGGCACTTTTGTATTTTCGTGCTGCTGCGCTCTGTACGGCTGCACTAGCCGTATTAACTGTCGTACCCAGATGCACACATTCAACCCCTGGCTATGCTTTGGAATTGTTTTCGTTGCCTATGTCCTCATCTCTTTTCGTTTTGTTTTCGCTGCCTGGGCTCTCATTTATCGTTGCGTGCTTGCTTGCTTGTATTGCTGAGGGAACATATGCTGGTTTGTATTCGTGGGTCCCCATGGTGCATGGGCCACGCGTACTCATCCGGCGGATATGTGTGAATAATAATAATAATAATAATAATCGCTAAGGAAATTATCGATTATCGTTAGCTGTCACTAACGATATAACGATACTACTGAACTATGTAGATGCACGTGTGTGAGGTGCCAGAACGCGAGTAACAGCGCTGTGAGTGCTGCGTGCACTGTGTTACTGTGTGTACCGGGTCCAAACCGCGCTGTGCACTGGCATGGCACATGTCCAGTACTACATTGTACACTGGTGGTAGACAGTTACTGTTGAGTTAGTGCGTACACTGATCCAGCCAGCGCGAATATCGTTATATCGATTGTTAAGCTATAAGTGTTATTGTTAAGCAGTTTTTGCATATCGTTTCAGCCCTAATTTGATTCGCTACTTCAAGGTGTCGAACGCTCGTCGATGCATGCGTAGGTATATGCAGTCCCATGCTTGTACTGCAAATAGCAATGGACATGTATATCGTGCAGAGCTCAGCCAGCCACCCTC